GCACCAAGAAAATCCAGAGAACCACTATGTCATACTTCAAAAACCAGTACTCCATTAAATTGGAAAATCTAAAAGAAATGGGTAATTTCTCAGTAGATACAACTTACCAAAGTTAAATCAAGACTATACAAACAATTTAAGTAGACAGATAACCCCTAATGAAAAAGAAGCAGTCATTAAAAGTCTCCCAAAGAAAGAAAGGTCAAGGCCAGATGGCTTTAATGCAGCATTCTACTACACTTTCAAAGAAGAACCAATACTCCTCAAATTATTCCTCAAAATAGAAACAGAAGGAACATTGCCAAATTCTTCCTATGAGGCCACAGTCCCCCGACACCCAAACCACAATAAAGAAAGAGAATTACACAGCAATTTCACTCATGAATATTGATGCAAAAATAAATAAAATAGAGTTAACAGGTTATATTTAGAAACATATATGTATATACATCAATTTATATGTGTATAACAATTGGTTATTTAAAAAGAGGTTCTGAATTTGAAAAAAAGTGTGGAGAAGTATATGCGAAAATTTGGAAGAAGGAAAAGGAGAAATGTAATCTAATTATAATCTCAAAAATAAAAGGATAGGCAGTACAAAAAATAACAAAATGAATGCTGGATCTCTGTGAGTTTTAAGCCAGCCTGATCTACATAGTGAGTTCCAGGATAGCCAGAGGTACACCAAGAAACTCTTGTCTCAAAAAATCAAAAATAGACAAACAAAAATAAACAAACTGCACTGCAAAAGACATAATTCATGAAATATAAAATTTAATTACTATAACTTCATTATTATACTACTTCATTCAAATAAATAAAGCAAAAATATGCATATAATTCATTTATAATAAAGGCTATTAAGAATTAGGGTTGGGGGAAAGGGAGATGGGGAGAGAGAAGGGAGAAGGGGAGGATTGGGGAGAGTTTGGGGGAATGGGATGGTTGAGATGGAGGAAGGGTAGATATGGAAGCAGGGAAGAATATATCTTAACTAAGAGAGCCATTTTAGGGGTGTCAAGAGACTTGGCTCTAGAAGGGTTCCCAGGTGTCCAACAGTATTTCCCCAGCTAGGTCCGTGGGCAGCAGAGGAGAGGGTGCCTGAACTGGCCTTATCCCATAGCCACACTGATGAATATCTTGCATATCACCATAGAACCTTCATCTGGCAATGGATTGAGATAGAGACAGAGATCCACATTGGAGCACTGGACTGAGCTCCCAAGGCCCAGATGAAGAGCAGAAGGAGGGAGAACAAGAGCAAGGAAGTCAAGACCACAAGGGGTGTGTCCACCCACTGAGACAGTGGGACTGATCTAATGAGAGCTCACCAAAGTCAGCTGGACAGGGACTGAACAAGCATGTGACCAGACTGGACTCTCTAAATGTGGCTGACAATGAGGGCTGACTGAGAAGCCAATGATAATGACACTGGATTTTGATTCTACTACATGTACTGGCTTTTTGGGAACCTAGTCTGTTTGGATGCACACCTTCTTAGACCTGGATGGAGGGGGGAGGTCCTTGGACTTCCCATAGGGCAGGGCACCCTGACTTCTCTTAGGACTAGAGAGCGAGGGGGAGGAGAAGAAAGAGGAGTGGGAGGGAAATGGGAGGATGGGAGGAGGTAGAAATTTTTAATAAATAAATAAATAAAGTAAAATAAGAGAATTATGAAGCACCTGCATTACAAAATAAGATTATAAAACATATTTATATAGACTGGCTACATAACCATCAAAATCCAGTTTAGATATATTAATTGTAGGTTTCGCTGACAATTTCCTATATATATAATGTATAATCTACTCAGATTAACTCCATTTCCATCCCTCTATACACTTTCTGGATGTGGGATTCCCCTCTGTATGCTGTGAAGAGGTTAATAAAGAAGCTGCTCTGGCCTGTGATAGGGCAGAATAGAGCTACATGGGGAAACTAAACTGAATACTGGGAGAAAGAAGGCAGAGTCAGAGAGATGCCAGGTAGCCACCAAAGAAGACAGACACCTGGGAACTTTATGGGTAAACCACGAGTCTCGTGATAAAAAAATAAAATTAAATAGAAATGGGTTGATTTAAGATGTAAGAACTAGCTAGATGTAAGCTAATGGTCAAACAATATTACAATTAATATAGTTTCTGTGTGATTATTTTAGGTCTGGATGGCCGGGAAACAAATAAGCAGCCTCTGCCTACACTTTCTAGTTCCCATTTTCCCAGATACTCTCAGGCTTAGTTTTTAAATATAGATTCTGAATAAGACAAGAAACAATTTCTTTCTGAGTCCAGTTTGCTTCACTTAACATACAATCTTCATTTCCACCCATCCTCCTACAAATGATATAATTTTGTTCATCTTTATTGCTGAGTAACTCACTACTTTATATAAATACCAAATCACCCATTCATCCACCGATGAACACTAAATTTTTAAATGAATAAAGGGGGCTGAAAATGTAGCTCAGCTGTCAGAGGCCTTTCCAGGCATGTTGGAAGCCCAGGTCCAACCCCTTGTACTGTGTGCTCCAACATGGCAGTGCTCAACCTGTAATCCTGGCACTGAGGAGGGGAAGGCAGGGGCATCAGAGGTTCTAAGTCATATTTATCCTGAGCTGTATGGGCTCTGTAGTCACCCTGGGACACAGGAGACACTCTTCTACGAAAAAGGGCAGACCAACTATAACTCACCTGCCCGAAATCTGCTTCCCTAATAGTCACTGAGTCTATGAAAACACAAGACACTAAAAAGACTTCTTCAATATGCAGCTTTCGACAAGGCTGCTAGCTCAGCGTGTAACACGTACCAGGAGCAAGGTGGTTTGCAGTATCAGAATTTCCTAATTTAGGGGTTAGGAGCTGGCAGGATGGCTCTGAGATAAAGTGCTTGCTGCCAACCTGGCCTCACAGCCCACGGTGAAGGAGTGAGCCAACCACTGAAAGCCAGCTCTGACTCCAAAAGTACCCACACTTCCACCTGTACATCAACGCAACAATAACAATATTAATAATAATAATAGCAACATTTTAGCAAATATTTATCGATCATGAGGCCAAAAACTGTTTCAGATACCAAGAATCACAATGAATAAAACCGAAGGAAATTTCTTCCTTGCTTACACAAAGCAACACAAATTCTAAAGGCTATCTTGATTAAAAGTCTAAGAAATTATTCACAGCTGAAAACAGACAATGGCAACAGTGAGCAAAGAAGACAACTCAAAACCCCTGTGTGTGCAACAAGTCAAAGGAAAGAGCCGGAGAGGGAAATACTGGGAAGTGCCTACCCAGGGAATCGGGGATACAAGTATGGCAAACCTATTAGCCAAGGATACAGTAATCGCTATTATAACTATTATGAACATTTATTGTCTCTCTGTGGACTCTGTTTCATTAAACTCTGGCCTCTAAGACCAGTATAGTCAAGCTAGAATTTCTTGAAATATATCCTAAAAGAATGAAAATGATCTCATCCCAGTTCTTTGACATAACAGCTGTGAGGCAGCATGCCCACTCCGCAAATCTCGTGTAGAAATCAGACTGCAGATAACAGTGTGGGGGGCAGGGATGCGGCTCACTGGAAAGCCACTCGCTCACCACGTGCAGGGCCCTGGTTCCACTCCTCAACACTCCACAAGAGAGAAAAGTTTCACGTATGTGATGTGCAAGTGCATCCATAATTCTTCTACTGAAATATTAAAATTCAAAATGTCCACATTAAAAATACCTTGATACACTCTCCCAAACTGTCAAGTTTGATCCCACAATTGAGTCAAATACATACTAACCCAGAAAATAGCTATCAGCTGGGGTGGGAAGACAGCCAGCGGGTAAAGTGCTGGCTCTGGAGGACTGAGGGCCTGAGTTCAGATCTCCATATAAAAGCCAAAAAGCCTGGAGTGAGGGCTGGGGGTGGGATAGAGACACGCAAAACCTGGAGCCCAGCTGAAAAGGCGCTAGCTTTTTAGCTGAAAAGGCGCGAGACACCCTCTCAAAAAATAAAAAATGGTAGAGAAGACACCTGATATGAGCCTTAAGAATGACTGAAAAACTACTGACCCCTTTAAGAATGATCACTTGAGGGGTGTGAGAGATGGCTCAAAGCCTCTCACAGAGGACCCAGGACCAATGCTCACAACAGCCTGCAACTCCAGTTCCAGGGAACCTGGCACCCTCTTCTGGCCTCTTAGGATAACTGCATGTATGTGATACATTTAGACATACACTAAGGATCACATAAATACACATAAAATAAAAATAAATAATAAACCTTTTAAAAATAATAAGTGATAACTCTAGTAACCAATGCTAGATATTCAAAATTCTTTCAAAATTCCTTCTTTGATTCCTTATAGAATCTGTTCGCAGACTCTGTTCAGCACATGTACCTGGTGAATTTAATGCATACAACATTTAAGAAAATGATAGCCACTATCCAATCCATTCAGAAAATATAACTCTTTCCAAACATTAAACCAATCTTCAAAAAATATAGAAATGACACTCTTAGATACCAAAGAGGACCCACCATATGAGAAAGAACATTCAGAGCAACTCATAGATTCATACGTTTCATGATTTGACGTCTACTAAACACCCATTATGCTGGGAACACAAGAGCATTTTATGGAGTTAATCATCATTCCAATGCAGAAGCTCTGTGGTGCTAATTATAGATGAAAAAGAGAAAAATCACTTTATAATCACACCCCTTAGCCAAATGGCTGATGATAGGCTCAACTAGTTTTAGCACTGGGTTGTTGGGGTCAAGGGTTAGGTGTACATGTGGGAGAATTAAACAAGCTCTGTTTGAAGGTGACCACAGCTTAGCTCCAGTCTGCGACTCTGTAATGTCTGCAACTGACCAGTAACTGGGCAAAGTCCACCAGGCGCAGAAGAACCCAGAGCCTGGGCCTACCAGCATGCACCCAGAATTCGCACTCTGCACTACCTCTTTTTCTTTGATTTTCAAAGTAAAGCTTATTTGGTTTAGTAGCATACCTCAAAATGATGATCAATCAACTCAAAATATTCTTGAAGGGGTATACATCCAGAAAAAGAACATGCAAAATCTTTGATTCCCTGTTTTTCAAAATATTCCTGAAGGCGGAGGATAAGTTCATTTGTTATGAGCCAAAGGTCTTCAAATTGTTCGCTCTGAATGCGGTATCGTTCTAAGAGACAAAAATAACAACAGAAACGAGCTCATTACACATGGTTATTACCAAAACAGAAAGCTATCAAAGCAACCTTGATGTGAACACCAACTAAAGGGTAATGTTTCTTTTTTGTAATGTATATATGATTTCTGATAGTGTCCTAAAATACATGTCTGCTGCCATGTTGCTGTTTTCTGCATCAACCACAGAACCATTTCAGATGCCCTTCCAGGGAAGAGGGCCAGAGAGTGGCTGAGTGCAGTCCTTCTCACCGTGAGTCCAACAGTTAATAGGCCTGAGCAGCCCAGCTGTGGCACATTTGACTTGACAGTAACGGAAAAAGGACAGTACAGTGGTACTGGTCTATTTCTGATACTGGTGTGAGATAAAATGTACGCTACACAAATCACTGCAATTATGATCAAAGTGTTCTGTTTATCTAGTCGTTTTTTTTTATTTTGAAGGACGCTTAAGCTTGACACGTCCCTAAGTTGAAAAGAAAATCCTGCTTCCCTCTATTCCCTGAAATGTGAGCACCAAAAGATCTGTGTATTCTCTAATCATGAAGGCTGTGATTCTGATGCCAGTAACAGTGATGATGATGTAAGATCGGGTGTGGATGGGCAGCAGCTAGGTGCCAAATGCTGTGGTGTGGCAGTTTCTTGTTATAACAATGAGAACAAAGCACACAGAATCCCAGTCAACCAAGGAGCAGGAAGCGCATTAAACGTGACAGCCTGAGTTCATACCGCATACATTCTTCCTACCTATTTCAATTTGCCTGTTCTTCAGATCATAGCTCGATCTCATCTATCATACAATAAACGTTGTGCACTTTTTATTTTTGAGACAGAGTCGTACTAAGTTTCATAGCTGACCTTGAACAACTCTATAACCTAAGCTAGTTTTAAACTCCTGATCCTCTTGCCTCAGGACCCCAGCTACCTGGGATTATATGTCTGAGTCACTAGGGCCAAGCTCATGAACAGATACACAAGGCTTGGTAAAATGCTTCAATGTTAGGCTGGGTATGGAGACCCAGCACTCAGAAAGCCGAGGCTGGTTATTCAAAGCTAGCCTGAGCTACATAGTAAATTTAGAAAAGCAACAGAGATATAAAAGTGAAACCCTTAGGCATGTTTTATATGTGACTTTATAGTTATCTCTTAGAGTTACTGTTTCTCTTCCATGTACCAGCATAGTCAGGAGAAAAAATAAACCATTCTGCAACAAAAACATGGCATTGGGGTACAGAAAGAAAAATAATGTTCTTTTTTTTTAAAAAAAGATTGATTTATTTATTATGTATACAGTGTTCTATATACATTTATCTATGCATGCCAGAAGAGGGTACCATATCTCATTATAGATGGTTATGGGCCATCTTGTGGTTGCTGGGAATTGAACTCAGGACCTCTGAAAGAGCCATCTCTCCAACCCAAAACATAATATTCTTAACTTGACTTTTTTTTCCAAACTAGCAAAACTCAAAAAGAAACAATAAGTCAGATGCCCACAAGTCAAAACCATCTCCTTAGTATTCATAATCCAAGTACAGAGCATTTCACATAGAGACTTTCCACATTATATATTTTATGGAATAGAGAAATGCAGCTTTCTATTTATAATCTATGATAAAAGATCTAGAGGTTTTAAATGTGCCTAAAATACTAATAATCAAAAGAGTTGTCAAAGTGAACATTGAATTTGTTCATCTCCTTTTCTTTTGCGTTCTGTGACAGCACTCAGTGGAAAGAACCACTTCAGCTTCCAAAGAAAATGAAGTCCGACACTCAGACCCCACTCCACCAAACAGTGGAGAAAATGGTGTATTCAATTAAGCAGACTACAGAATACCACATCAGACCCCATTCAAGACAGATCATCTGAACTTCACAAAACAAGTACAGTTTATATTAAATCATAAACAATGCATGCATATAATCATATCATAGGAAAACTTTTTAAGAGGATAAAGCAAATGAATGCTTTTAGACATGAACTTGGAAGAAATGCTATAAACAATTTCTGTAGATACGAGTTTAAAATAAAAATATATAATGTCTTCAATACTAGAATCTACGGAGGTACAACTACACTTACTTTTCAAAATGCCTTTTGAAAGCTAGATTTGCATTATAAACAAATTGTCCCATAGTGAAGAAATTGCTAAATACTTACTGATAAATCACCATCCCTTTACACCGCTCACCGGGTATAAGAAAAACATCAAATCAAATTACTTCAGATTTGACTAATATTATCATTAATTGTAACTACAATGCTGGGTCTCATATCACAGAGCCTCTACAGTGTGACGGTCCGGGCACTCCAGAGAATTCATATGTCTAAAACCCGTACACATCCACCAATTTTGACCAATCTTTGCTACTTCCTGCACTGACCTTTACCCACTTCTCATGTTTGTTTCTCAAGATCCTCACAATATCTCTACAGCTTCTATTCCTATTGCCAGCGTACCAATGTTTGAGTACTGACTCTCCTTGCCCATTTGCCTCTCGTATGTAATCCATGGGTTCTGCAAGGGATGTGCTAGCCTTGTATAAAACAATACCCTGAGTGATAGATATAAAAGACCTACTCTGCCAAGAATGAATGAGACAAGAATCACACACTCCTTGCACTCAACACACTTTAATTAGCAAGTTCACACGTGCTTTCTTCTGCAAAGCGAAAAGAAAGACACTTTCAAGGCTCAACTCATCTTTGCCGACCAGTCAACAGCTCCTCTACCAGGATAATTAAAGTGGGTAAGCACAGGACCTTCCAACTTGATTTTATTTCATTTGTTTCCTCCGGCCTGTTCGAATCGAGCAGAGCACAGGAAAGCCTGGTGTGTATTAGTTCCCCCTTTCCATCCTTACACACCTGCTTGAATCTGTACAAAAGAGGGTGGGTCTACTTAGCATTCTTTGTTCACTACCAGCTTAGCAGGAAACAGAAACCCAAACTGAGACACATCCTCCTTGCATCTTGGAGCAAAGGTTTTCATTGTCCAACACTAACTGAAGCTGTTTTTGTTGGAAACTTAGTTGGCTGCGGTTGGTCAGTCGGTTGGTTGGCTGGTATTTGTTTGTTTGCTTGTTTGTTTTGACACAAGGTCTTGCTAGGTGACCCAGAGTGGCCTTAAACTCATGAAACTCCTGAAGACACCTCTTGAGTAACTGATATTATAGCCATGTATCACCATATCTGGAAAACGAGAAATTTTGTTGAAAGAGTACATCATCCTGATTTATTTCTTGTCAATAGCTTGTTTTTCCTTTTAAAACCCATATGATATATTCTTGGTCTGTCGTGCTCTAAAATTTCACCAAGATGCACCCAGATGTGGGTCTTTTTCTCTCAATCAGGCCTTCCTAGTATCCTCACATTTGGAACTTCATTTCTGTCTCCACTGACTGTCTCTCCGGCTTAGTCACCATTCCCCGAAGACTACACCTTGCCTTGCAGGCCTCTCCGTAGAGGAAAATGTAGTCTAGGTCTGAGGAGATAGATGCTTGGCAGTTAACGTGCTCATAGTGCAAGCAAGAGAAACGGAGTCCAAATCCCCAGAACCCAAGTTAATGCCAAGGAGGCGTGGCAGCCCAGAGCAGAGATGGCCTCCTGGAGCAAGCTGATCAGCAGACTAACTGTGCAGGGAAGTTCCATGTTAGATTGGGGTCCCTGCCTTCAAGAATAAGGTGCAGGAGCAATTAAGATTAATAATATCAACCTTGAGCTTCCTCATCCACATGTGTATGCACACACACATGCAAAGGCGAACACTCATACACACATATGCACACCACACGCAGGTATGGAAAAATGGAAAAAGCAGTATGCGATCTGTGCAGACTTTGCCGTGAGCACTGAGTCTGCTCTCAGGCTGTCACCTCTGCTTGTGTCACCCCTTGCTGCTCCTACTACACCCTTAGCACAAGTTCTGGTCCATGGCCCCATTAGTTTCTCAACATAGCAATTCTCTATAATCTTTGCATCTCTCATTGTCAGCACGGCTCTGACAGCTCCAGTCTACAATCACTCTTATAAACATATTTTATCTGAAATTCTCCATTTGAAAATCCAAGAGCTGCTTTAAATGCTTGGCTATACTAAACAAATCACTGTCAGGGAAAGCCTAACATATGACAGGTTCCTCTCTAAAATACAAGATCTGAACTTCCTGTGGAAACTTGGCACTGCCTATTTCTTCCAGAGTTTCTTATCCTGCAAGACACCAATGTCATGCTATTTTTATTTTCAAAATATAGATAACATCAAGGCTCCCATACCTTCCCATCGACCAGAGAGTTTGGCCTTGCCCAATCCTTCCTGCTACAGGAGTTACAAAAGTATCCCTGGGTCTGGGGGTGCAGCTCAGAGAGGAAGCAAGAACTTGGTGTGTACAAGGCCCTGGACTCACCCGACAGAAAGAAAAAATAAAAGTGCCATATAGCATGCATGACTGTCAAGCACGTTTCTAAAGGAAGTGAATAAGGGTCCCTCTACAGCAAATATCAGTCACGAGCTAAAGACAATTCCACACAGCATGAGGGTCATGTGCAGAGAAGAGACACTGCGCCCTTCCATGTGGTGGAAACCTGGCAATCCAGATTTCTTTCTTCCTTTTTGAGACAGGGTTTCTCTGTAGCTTTGGGGTCTGTCCTGTAACTAGTTCTAGTAGACCAGGCTGGCCTCGAACTCAGAGATCCACCAGCTTCTGCCTTCCAAGTGCTGGGGTTAACGGTGTGCGCCATCACAGTCTGACTCAGATTTCTTTGTATGAATGACCACTGTGTGCTTTTTACAAAAACTAAAATCCCAAACATGAGTCAGGCACAAGGGGACCAGTGCACCAAGAGTGCAAAGAGGGAAGCAACGGCTCCCTTGACTCTAAGTCTGACTTCTGAGGTCATCTTCATCACAGAGTCCTCTCCTAGACAGGAACCCACATCTTTAAAGTCGAGGAACCAGCACAGAAGTGGAGCAGCTGGCCTTCAGGTTTCAATCCGTGCACTCCTAGCTTTCCTGTCGAATACTGCCTTCCTGTGTTCCGTCAAGGCAGGACCACGAGCAGAGATGTGAACAGGCGGCTATATCTCTGGTGTTGGTGAAGGGTAAAGAACAGGAGGGTGACACAGTGCTCCAAGAGCCTTGTCTGAACAGAACAGCTACAGACACCGTAGGATATAAATATGTTCAGTGACACAGAAACATAAAGTTTGCTCTTTAAAGGGCTTCAACTGAAGAGTAACTATAAAGACGAGCAACGGGGGCTGGAGCAATGGCTCGGCCACTAAGATCACTTACTACTCTTGCAGAGGACATCGGTTCGGTTCCTTGTACCCACACACAGCTCAAAACAATCTGCAACTTCAGATCCAGGGGACCCTCTTCTGGCCTCTGTGGCATGAGGCATGTGCATGGTACACACACATGTGTATATGTGTACATATGTATATATGTATGGGTGTGTGTAGGCAAATACTGATACACATATAAGTAAAAAATTAATCTTCAAAGTAATCAAGCACCATTAACTCAAATCAGAATTTCTACAGTTTACAAAAGAAAGATTGATGACACTTTTTTAGTCTGATAAATTAAATAGGAAAATGCACCAAAATGATTCCAACATCCGAATGAAGAGTGAAGCCAAGCACAGCATAACAGGACCACGTGCCTAGACTTAGCAGAATGGCCAGGGCACTAGAAATTTGCCAAAGTTCAGATCTCATCTTAGAAATATCCTATGTGATTGCCAATGTAATGACTGTAGCAATGACTCATCAAAACCTCATCTTAGAAATATCCTTTGTGATTGCCAATGTAATGACTGTAGTCATGACTCATCAAAAAAGACCATAGAAAGCATGGAGTTTTCTTCTCTTTTTTCAAAGTAACTTTTATTTATTTTTTGTGTGCTTTACTCTAGAATATCTACCTGCATTCAGGTTTTACACAGCAATCTGTATATCCTAGAAGCTTATATGATCTTAGCTATAGAAATTTTGTCAGTTCCAATAGCAGGAAATATGTTCCTACTAACAATCTTCAGTTTCAAAGAAAATGTCTTCATTTCCTTCATCCTGTTATTCAAGACTGCCAAACACGACAACATGACTGCAGATGTAGACAGTTCAAAGGGCAAGCCAAATGCTAAAATTACAGGGGGGGGTTGTTTTGTTTGTTTGCTATGTTTTGTTTTGAGACAGGGATTCTCTGTAGCTTTTGGAGCCTGTCCTGGAATCAGTTTTTGTAGACCAGGCTGGCCTTGAACTCACAGAGATTCACCTGCCTCTGCCTCCCGAGTGCTGGGGTTGAAGGCATGAGCCACTACTACCTGGATCTACAGGATGGTTTTTAAAGTTTGCAGTAGTGGACTGCAAACTCAAGGCAAGCACTCTGCCACTGAATCACATCCCTACCCACAACATTGCAGATTTTTTTAAACTGGCATGTATTCAAACTATTTTAATGTACACACACAATTTATCCCAATAAAACATAAATTACTAGCTTGTTTATTTCTATGAAAGTATATAGCAAAAGTAAAGTTAATTCCATTAGTATAGTAAACACAAAATAAGTTTTAAATCAACTAGTTTCAACTATTTTACTCATATAAAACAACTAAATTAATAAGATATATTTAAATTGGAATTCAATCTTGGCTATATAATTATTGGATTTCTATCTGATATTAGTCTCAGCCGAAAACAATCATTCATTTCATGTTCATGTCTGTCAGTGGTTTTGGTGTGTGTGCTGTCAGCTTAACATGTTCTAGAGTTATCTAGGAAAGAAACCTCAACATCTGCCTTCATCCAGATGTCTGTAGGCAAATCTGAGGGCATTTTCTTGATTAATGATTGACTTAGGAGGGTCTAGCCCATGAGGGACAGGGCTGCCTCTGGGCAGGTGGTCCTGATTATCTAAAAGCAAACAGATCAAGCCATGAGGAGCAGGTCAGTAAGCAGCACTCCTCTGTAGCCTCTGTTTCAGTTTTGGCCTCCAGGAGCATGGCATGAATTCCTGTCCTACTGCCCTCAGAGATGGAGTACCACCTGAGTTAAAAACCCTTTCCTTCCCAAACTACATTCAGTCACAGTAATAGAAACCCTAACTAAGAAAATGTCAAATAGGGATATAAAGATAAATATAGATATAGCTGGTACATGATATAGAGATAGATGATGATAGGTTAATTAGATGATTGATATATTGATTGATAGACAACGGATAGATAGATAGATAGATAGATAGATAGATAGATAGATAGATAGAT